TCTCTAGTTGGTATGATGATTTTGAAATCTTTTTGAAAGTTGTACTGTGGAACTGTGTTAGTGACTGGCTGATTGGTGTTTGCCCCTGCATTAGCCTGTGTGTCACCAGTCGAGCTTCTCTTTGTATGTAGATGTGCAATAGTGGAAGTCCGAGTAGGACCTCAAGTGCTGCAGTTGGGGTCGTTCTCATGGCTTCCGCGACATCTTGTAATGTTATCCAATTTGGTGCTGAAGAGGCAATGAGGCAAGTGTCTCATTCCGAGACATCGATGGCCGCCATTGAGCATGACGGTGTTCCATGTAAGTTAATTTTGGAGTACGAACTGAAAAAAAAAGTTTTTATATAACTCAATGTTCATTTATAAGTAGATGTTTCGAGTTGGCCTCTTCTTTCAGTTTGTGTCTGAGAGTAACTGATATACACTTCTCTGTGAAAAGATTATTCAGAAAATAATTGCTTTCTTTCTTCCTTTGTAAATTTTTCACACTTTTTCGTTCGAAGATGGAGAGGTAAAGAGCCAAAAACTTTCTATCCCAAAAGTTATTCTTCCCTAAAAATACACCCCTTCAATTTGAACAAGATTTCTATGGCTAAAACCGCTCAAAATGAGCGATTGAATGTTATTATGTATTGTCATCTTTACATGAGTAGATTGAACTCATTTGTGACATAAAATTATAATTTTATGAGTTTCGTAATGTTATTCAGATTGGTGCTGAACAGGCAACAAGGCAAGTGACTTATTCCATGGTATACACATCTTGGTAGAAAGTTTATTTTGCTATTATTTGATTTTTTCTTCTTTCTAAAGATTTTAACATTTTTTTTGTTTACAAAACCCTTCTTTCCCAAAAATTATTGTCTTCTAAAAATGAGCTTCATAAAGCATCAAAAGTTGCTGAGGTGTGTACAGTTTTCTGGTTCGGAATAGTGTTCCAAGCTTTTGAGAAGCAGCCTTTGCAATTCCAGCGACATGATTGTATCACGACATATTGGTGTCCATTTTAACCCTCAACAAACTTATCGAAGCAGAAGGCGGAATTGTCTGACCTGACATTATCCGGTTCGAAGACATTTACCTTCTTTGAGAAAACCGATGCCTGGGTTTATGTGGCATTGAATTGAACCTGGTTACTTCAACCTCAATTCGAAATCACTTCTAAATTCTCATTAACATATGCAACCTTCTGATACCGTAACTATTCTAGTTGCTGTATCATATGAAATTGTAAATACAAAATGTCTTCAAATCTTCTTGCCACAGCACCTCTGAGACGATCTACCAAAATCAAATCTCTAGAGAAGTAGCATCGTTTTCAACGAAGAGTTAGGTCAGATCAGATCTAAAGTGGGTGGGTCTATTCGACCCTCCACCGCAACCCATAAAGGTTTATAGTGCCTCTCACCTATTCACACTCGGCCAAATAAACCCAGCTTCTTAACGAAGCCGATTAGTTTGTATGGTGAGTGGTATTTCAGGTCAGATTCTACCATCTGACCTGAAATCGACGGATCTGTCGAACTCTGAGAACCTGATTCGGTCCCCAGCGGGGCAGGCACAAAGTACATGCTCTGCTGTTTCATCATTTTCCAAACAGAGGCGACTACTCCATCTTGATACAAGATGGAGTAGTAGAAAGCCAAAAACTTTTTTTTCCAAAGGTGTGGTACTGATGACACCAGTGATAGCCAGACAAGCCTGTCTCTGTTAGCCAGAGAGCTTCGCTTGGGCCGTTATCTGTAAAGCCTTCGGCCACCAAGTAACTGCACCATAAGTGATTATTGGTCTGACAATCATCACATAAATCCAATGGATTTGTTTAGGACCTAAACCACAAGTTTACCACAAATTCTTCGACATGTCCATAGAGACAGGCTGGGTAAAACTTTTTCCAAGTGAGCGATCCAGGTGAGTCTTTTATCAAGGACAATGCCACGATATTTCACCTCCGTTCCAAATGGAATGACCTCGCCATTGAGGGAAACTGGCGTTAGATCATCCAATTTTCCCCTCTTGGTGAAGGGGATTAACACAGATTTGCTGGGGTTGACAGAAATCTGCTCCCTCAGGCACCATCTGTGAACAACGTCCAATGAAGAGTAGTCACAAGTATAACTACGAACCCAGGTTAATATTCTAGGAAAAGGCATTCAATAAATAGCACAAACATCATCAAATAAATAATATGTTTATTATACTTAATTGATATAGCAGCATTGCAGATCACTGATAACAGTACGTTTTGTTTGGAGGAAATTATTTAACAATATTCTCAATATAGATTTCGTTGTACATGGAATGTTTCCAGAAAGCTAACATCACAGAATTTTCGATTGGAAAAAATGAGTCACTACGGTACAGACAGATAATCGACAGATTTCAGAATAATGTTTGACAATTTTTTACAACCGAAAAGTAACAAGAACATGTCATATCCGAGGATATAATACATTGACTCAACGAAGTCTGAACTAGACTTTGAACTTGTATTGCTGTACTATGGCTCTATTACTAGGTAATAATTAATAAATTATTTTTAACGGAAATTTCCGGAAATATATACACGGGGACATATTATTATTTACAAGGAACAATGAAAATCGTTACAATTTGAACATAGATGAAATATGACATTTTCAGGGATATGTTCACGAATATTTACAATAACTACTTGACTAATATGGAACAAATATACATATGATCATAATTGAACAAAATAAAAATTGGTTGACTATTTCGAAGGATATTGACGAATATTTGGTACTCTCTTGTTTTATTGCATTTCAATCAATCGGTTCCATAAGACTATAATATTTCGCAGACACATCAAAATGTAGAATAATTTTTATTTCATAAAACTTTGATCTCTACTACCTAACAACGATATTTGAGGTCCAGTATTTTTCAAAATATTGGGTTCCCAAAAATATCAATTTGATGATATATCTATTACGTTGAAAGTTGAATTTTGGTTCAGAAAAAGATTGAATAAACGTCTTTAAATACTTTTTTGGTCATCAACCACTAGGATGATCAGACTATTGGCCGTGTGTAATTGTTCTATTCCAAAAATATTCCCAAATTCTGTCACTTTTATTGCTCGTAGGTTTTTCAGGATATTTTTCATTTTTCTAACTTGTTAAATTCAGTTCTGAAATCGTCTGATATGCTGGGGAATTTATTTCCTGAATCAATACCAAAAAATCAGAACTAGACTAGTTTCGTTTTTTTTTTGAAGTTTGTCTGAAAATATACTATTTGAATCTCAAAAAAAATTAACATCATGATCGATATATTTTGTTTCAACATAGAAAAATATACATGCATGATAATGTTTTGGAGCACTCCGTTGCTTGGTTGGACAGAGTATAGAAATACATTTTATTTTATTGCTCATCGGCAATTGTGAGAAAACTTGTTGAATGAATTGAAACAAATTCAAATTCATTGTATTCCACTTATTTTCTTGATTCAACAATGGCGCTCTGTTCGAAGAACAGTTAAGTGTTGGCTTGATAAAAAAATGAATTTACTGAATTATTTTTGTGCTACAGATATGTGAATTCACGAAATAATTCAAATAAATTGTTTATTTCAGTTTTTGAATTTGTACTAATAACTCCGATTGTTAAACAAGAAACTACCGTAGTAGCCAAAAATTCTACATACTAATATTTTGTTGTAGAGTCATTTTTCCACATCAAGATTGCAGATTTTTTAACGTAGAAGTTGAAGTTGATGGGGAAACATACTGAGCTTCCACAGCATTGTTGTGTTCAGGTTTTAATGGCGCTGGAGGCTGAATGGATTCTACTATACTTTTTGAAATTTTCATTTTGTTAGCTATGGAGTTGTCGATATAAGATTCAGCAACATTGCTGAATTTCCAAACCCCATGGCGTTTTAAAGTTAAGATCTGCCCCTGCATTAACTAAAATAGTCGCAGATGACCTTCGGGAACAGTGGCCAGTATATAATTCAGGGTTCGGTAATTGTAAAAATTACGCCATGGTGCCAAATTCATTCATCCCCACAGGCTGTTTCGTACATTTGCTATTTTTGTAATTTAAAAAAAAACGTGTTTCATTTGTGCATGGTCCAAGCTTCACATATTTTTTGTAATTTTGGTAGAATTATCCCGTGACTGTGAAATTTCTAGGAACCTTGGTTACTATCGGGTAATATTATTAAAAGGGCCGAATTAAGATCTTCCATGTCATCAATTTTTAATTTCCTAAGTTCATCACAACGGCATGCCCCTGTAAGGCCAATAGCTAAAGCTAAAGCTAAAATTTAAAAATTTTCAATTCATTCCTTTATCAACAAATACTTTTCATCAGGTGTATCTTTTAAAAATTGTTGAAATTGTTCAGAAGTTAATGTTTTTGACTGATTTGGAGCATATTTTTCAGATTTGCGTTTTTAAAATGTACGTAGTTTTACGTATTTTGATATATCAACACAGTTTTCAATAATTAAGGTACTCCTCAACATTGAGAACTGAGACCATAATGTTGATGATTTCAGTCTTCTTCAAAATAAACTAACAAGGTATTTTCGAAAGAAGAATTTACCTTGGCTTTCATTTTCCAGTCCATAAAGTATCGGTAAGCGATTTCATATTTTTCTCTTGATGTGCTTGGTAGCAAATTGTTGCAAAAATATATTGCTTTCTGACGAATTTCTGGAGGTGTATTTTCCAACTCTAAATCTTCGTATTCCATTATATGCAATATTTAATAAATCTGGTCTGTTAATAGTATAACAATCAACAATAAAACTATTTTCGTTGAGTAAGTTGACAGCAATAATTATGCAGTGCTTCGGTATTGTTGTTATGGAAACGCCGACAATGGGTTACTTGGATATTGCACGCGAATCGTCGGCGTAGCGTTGTCAACATGGAGAACGTGTCATATCAATCTGACATGTAACAATTCATGACTGACTTGGGTTATCGTGATAACAGTGAGAAATTATTTCTCACTGTAATGGCGGATATTTCTCACTGCGTGAGAAATCTTTCGTTTTGAACGTATGAAAGCGATGAGAGAAGTAGCACATTATATAGCATCCGTGGAAAAATTGAATTGTATGTATCAAAAAGTTCATTTCCAAATATTTCGGCCCTATCATGCAATTTTGGAGTTTGGGAATGTGTTTTCAGATATCAAATGAGGATTCACCTCACTTAAGTAACGACAAGTATTGTCTCTATTAATTTCACCATTCAACATAAGCTAGTCTTATTTTGAAAATTGAAATTTGTGTGCTATCAAAATTCGAAAGACACTAGTATGTAGTATCTGATACACTAGATACTCTAGCTATATGTCTGATATATTATCGATTACCCCTTGGTCATTGGCCTAAAACTGCAACCTCAACTACTTCATTTTTGACAGAATAGAATACATCTATTGTGACCATAACGGGAAATTTCTCATTTATCAATCAAATATTTATCATCCTGATGGCTCAGGTTTTGGTTTCTAGAAGTTTTTGGCAGCAGATTCAGAAAGTTCGTTATTTTCATAGATGGCTGCAACGACTTCTGCTCTTTCTTTAGTAGAAACAAGTATGTTAGAATACAGTGAACAAAAGTGAATGAATAATAATTCGTTAAACGAAGTGACAGTAAGAAAAATTGATATTTTCACTAGCAAATGAGTCGAGCAATATTTGCTCACTCCCAATAAATATTTTCAACACTTGAGAAGGGGTACAGAGTCAACTTTGAACAACAGGGTGAGTAAAACCTTAATCAAAATTTGGTGGTGCTGTCTGACAAAATTATATAGTATCGTCGCCTTTTACATTCAATAATTGAATTGCTGAACTATTATTTATTATACTGAACAGTAGAACGTAACTTTTCTACCTGTGGAACACTGGACATATTTCCCTCGACGGGCTATTCGAGCAAGGAAAATCAACGTCAACAGAAACCACGTTAAAAACTTCGAAAAGATTTGACAGGTAGCTGCTACCAGCAAGGAAGTGACACGTTGAATGTTGATTTCCTATTATTTGAAATTTTTGGTCACATGTTCTGATTTAATGTGGTCAAAATTGGAGTTACCAGCTAAAATAGAACGTTAACAAAATCAGCCGTCTAGTTTAAAGAATGTATTCAAAATAGTGCAACCAAATATTCGTCAATATCTTCAATTGCCACAAAATCAACGCAACAACAACCAATAACTACTCATCTACATTCAAACAAAACCGACATGATTATTATTGCACAATTCAGTTCGAGCCGTTCCGGCTATTTCAAGTATTGTTCAGTAAGGAATCTATACTGAAGGGATTCGCCCTCCTCATCTTCTCGTCGTGGGTGCCCGTCGACAAATCAACCCCTGCGTCCGACATTGAAGACGAATACATGCCGTGCTCGCTGCTGTTGAAATTCTCCGACTCCGCCCCTGAATCACCCACGACGTCTATATCACTATCACTGTCCAAGGCGTCAGTCCCTCTCTGGCTGAGATACTCCCTCTTCAGGGCGACCAAGTCCACGGCTATGCCTTTGGCTCGTAGTTTTCTCGCTTGCCGCTCCAGAGCTTTCTGCAGCTTTTTCCTGCGGCGCGCTCGATCTCTGGCTCGGAGCTCGGCGGGAGGGATCGGTTCTCCGGAGCAGGATTGCGGGTGAGCGTTGTGAGCGGGTCGGCCTGGGCCTTTTTTCGTGTGCTCCTTCTTGCGCCATTTGGCGCGCCGGTTCTGAAACCATACCTGGAACAAAAGAAGTCTTGCTTTAGTTTTGGTTGGCTGTGTGATGTATAATTTTGCCAAATAGCACTGATGTTCATAAAAATGTTGATTTACTTTCTACTTTCCCTCACCATTTTCTCAAATGGTCGAGTGAAAGTGACACTTATTCAACCAAGCTACTGTCATGATTTTTAATCCAACAAATTAAAATCACTGAGACTATTATGATACGATCATTATATCTATTAAAAACAAAATATTACAACAACAATTATCAACACCTCGTATCGTAATAGTACTTACGTTTTCAGATAGCATTTCACGAATAACCCAGAAATTGAGTATTTTATCTAAAGAATCATTTTAGTAAAAATGTAGTTTGAAAAATGGTAGATTCATGATGTCTGTATATCCAATACGAACGTAGTAATGGCTTATTGAAGGTTAGTTGTTCGTCGTTGAAACAATGCATTTTTTGGGAAACTTCTTGAAATTGCTTGAAGAATATTTATTTTCGTAAAAAAAGTCCATAGCATCAAAACTTAGCTTGTTATGACGAAAATGATATTGGCTCTATGATTTCTGTGACAAAAAATGTTAAAAGCACTCTGTAGTTACAACTCCAATTGATAATAATCATTGTCACTTCACAATCCACTTTATCCGTTATTTAATTTCAATATGCTCCACGATCGATGTTGTGGACAGAACGTTTATATAATTTTTCAAAAAAATGCCCTATAAAATTGCATAGTATACTTATAATGTGTACTTATCAATGTTTCAAACAACAAACATGTTCTTTCCTCTTACTCAAGCTCAATTTTTCTCAAACCGATCAAACTTATAGAGCATGTGATACATACATAAATTAAGTGAATTTTTAAGTGATTATTTCTAATAGGGGTGGTATTTAAGGGGTGCTTTTCACATTTTTGTCACGTTCAAAACAAATTTTGATTTTGGATTTGACGAATAATCCTTTGACAAGCTATCACATCGTTTCTATTGGTTTTACAAACACCATGATTCCTTTTTTTATAGACTACAATTTTACTGGCAATCTTTGATTATTAAAATACTCAATTTTTGGATTATTTGCGAAAAACTGTCCGGAAACGTTGACACATTCTAAATCGTGAAGTAGGTACTGACTCTCAAAAAAAACTATATCAAACAAAAGTTGCTTAGAATTAGTGGATATTTTAATTTTCATACTCATACAATCTTATATCAACTTCCGGGTGTCCGGCTTCACTCGTTCTACAAAATCAACGCAATTACGACCTTTCTTCATCACACGTGCCATATCGGTTTATCCGGATTTATTTTCTTCTAGTGTGACTGTTTTCATTTTACGATAACTCCTGAATATCATTTCAGACTGTATGACGTAACGGGCAATTATAATGTGCATTACATGTTTGAGGCTACTAACAAAGAGATTAGGCAGCTTATTCGATGAAAGCTCGCAGAGAAACACCACCGCCTCGACTTCTCATGGGTAACATCGTCATACCAAACTACATAAAAAAATTGATAGATTTAACATATAAATATACTTTTTGAATCACTTCTTCCATCGATGCAAACCGTATGCAAATCTATTTGGTACTTTTTGAGTTCATCACGTTAAGTAACGCAGACATAGATACAGACAAACGGACAGATAGACACATCGAAGGACTTCATGATATATATATTGCTTCACCATAATTTATAGATGTCCAGTACGCCACTGTCGTCTGCTAACACGAACCCAATTTGTGTGCCGTGATTAACGGCGAATTATTGACAATTAATTCGCGGGATTAATCAAATTTGAACTGAAATGTTAATTGGATTTGATAGCGCTCGGCAGATAACAATTAGTAACCTTATCTGTGTATCGGATTACTTGATTTATATTCAGGACGATCTCACAAGTTTTGTGCACGAAAAAAATATATTCATTTTCTGATCCGTATTCATAAGAATGCTCCACGCTTAGTCTAGTTAGGAAAAAATTGTGATGGGTTTCATCCAAGTCATAGATCCATGATAATAATTCATTGTGAAAATTCTATAATCATTGTCAATGATAGTGTTATTAATTTTCATGAAGTAATGGGTCAGAGCTTTCATAACAAGTCATTGATAATTAATTAAAGTCATTGATGTACTAGATATACATGGCCATAGCAGAAAGCGTTGAATTTGTTAGAAGGAGATCTAATGAACAAAAGTTAATGAGGAAAAATAGAAGTTGATCTGACTCCAGAAATAAACTTATAGCGAGGGGATCAGAAAACGAAAATGTATCTAAGAATGATGTTATATTCAGAAGCAGGAAGCACATCTTCAATATGTTTATGTCAGCTTGCTGATCTGATCGGCATCTGAATCATCCTCATAAATTATCAATGACAGTAGTGCCTAAGTGGAGAGTATACAGATCTCTCTTTAATTTTTCACCCCTACTGCAACGAAAAAAGACTAAGGTTTCACAAAGTTACAAGTTATCAAGTTATAGAAGTAACATCTGTAAATCCTTGAAAAAACATTGAGCGAAAATTTGAAGGAGCTTTGAATATGACTAATGATTAAATATTACTGGAGTTTTTTCCCAACACCAAACCGTTATTTCAACACCTCGACACGTGTTTCGATCACCAAGTGATCATCTTTTTGTTTGGATCTTCCTCTTGAAGATGATCACCTGGTTATTGAAACACGTGCCGAGGTGTTAAAATAACGGTTTGGTGTTGGGAAAAACTCTAGTAATATTCATTACTATACCAAAGATTCCAAATAGTTTCAAATGATTGACTGTTATATCGGTTTTACAGATATCTATCTATATTCAGTAGATAATTGAGATTATTTCAGAAGTAATCATAGAGATACTAGGTTATGAGTAAAGTCGAAATTTCGAGTGTGAAAGTTGTAGTTTTTCACGCTTCCGCAGGTTCCAACTATACATGGATATGCACAACGTGAGTGTTCGGAACGAGCTTGAGTATGAGGTGAATCTACGACAGTGCGAGAAAATGACAACAAGTATTTGTTTTGCATATAATGGCCGTATCATTCGGGAAACAATTTATGTGCCTCTCAGAATTTGTTCAGCGCGCTTGACTGATGATGCACTCAAGAAAGAGTATTGGTCCCAATACCGTTTTTTGGGGTTCACTCTTACAAATTTTTGATTCAACGTTTCCTTCATTTTACTTACTTGATCCATCCAAGTTATCGATAGTTTTATTGAGAAAGTCACTAATTGCATTCACTGCTCTGGAACCTTAGATAAAAGGTTATGACTTTGAAATCTTCCAAAGAATCTATTTTTAGGCGACTTACCAAATATTTTGTGTATGTCTATAATATAACTGATATTGGATGGTAGACTTGGCATACCTGATTCGAAAAGTAGTGCTGTGAAATGGTGTGTTGGAAAATACATGTTCATGGCGAGTATTTGAAGTTGTTTGATAGATGTATGCATGTGTTTGATGAGGTTTTCTGTCATTGGCATTTGGCATCGGCATTGACAGTTGTCCGAATAGAACAGTCAATTTAAAGAGCCTCATTTTAATCATCCATTATTAAAAAATCAGTTAAGAATGAAATGATATTTTTCGATTTTTAATTTGGATTGACTGATGAATATTTATAAATTCTCAATAACTGGATGTTTTCTATGAACGTTTATATAAACCTGTAACTTTTGAGGCTAAAATTTTCGATAAATGATGGAATTGGCCGTAACTGACGTATTCAAAAAACATAATTGGCCATAACTGACGTATTCAAAAAACTAAACAAACAAAAACGCAACACGTGTTTCGCCATACAATGGCTTCTTCGGGCGTGTCTTTATACCCTTTTTGTAAAACTGTTTAGTGAAAATCTCAGAATGAAGTGTTTTTTGATAACGTTGAACTTTTAGAATGAAGCTTTTCAACATTCTTCATTTAGCCTGATATTGTTAGTTTCTAGAAACTCAATCCAATTGAGTCCAGAAATGCATTGATTTTTATATTGAAATATCTTTCAAACATTTTTTCGGTAATCGTAACTTTTTTGTTAAAGAACATGTGAACATGTATATTTTCTAAAGTGGGCCAACTTTCGGTTATCTCTGATTCCCAGCTGTTCATTTCAGAAACTAACTCTATAATCCGATAGGTGTAAGTGTCTCCTCTATTAGCATAAACGACAAAAAACAAAGTAGAAAACGAGGCACATCGCGTTCGCAAAAATTAATGAAAATTGATATTACTACATATCACGCTATAGCTATGGCACACTGACGGCTGAAGACTATAATTATCATGGTAATTTCGGGGAGGATTGTAGGCAGTACGTCTTGGTGGCGTGTAATGACCAGCCCGTACACTGCACACTAGTGTCAGAAATATACGAGGGAGTATGATTGAGATCTGAAACTTTGAAACGAATAGAGGAGATTTTAGGCGTAAATTGGACGTGAGCACGGTAGTTACAATCCCAATATTTGAATTATTGTCAATATTTTTCTATGTTTATTTTCTCAACTATACTACTAGGAGGCCCTCCCTCCCAATGGACTTTGCCAACCCAATTCTAATGCTGAATTTACTCCTATCAAATGAAACATAATTTTTTATGAGTAAAGCATAACAATTTTAAGGAACATATGAACTGGTAACTAAACTCAAAATGCACATTTCACATAATTTAAAGAGCAAATGAAGACTTCATCAATGGTATGTGCTTATGTAATCTCAAGATATCTTCATATATTTATTGTGGCATATAATCTGCAGAAATTAGGGATTCCTCTGTCCAAAAGCCATCTAAAAATGGTTGATATACCTTATCGTTATTTTTGTTTTAATAGTCATCGATTGGAAATATAGTTTCCATTTTTTGTGATGAGATTATATATGTCAACACTGATGGATACTTCAACAACGAATATTTCAATTCGTCAACCCTAGGTTGGATTAGGTTAGATCGAAAGTGAGTAAGTCTATTCGATCCTACACCGCAACCCGCAA